TGTCATTTGAGAACGATAGATACATGGATCTGAACTATGCAAATTTCCTAGATTGGCTTTTTTATTTGGCATAATTTCCTTGAGAGTTATCAAACTTGTTGCATGCATTAATAACCAGATGGACTTTTAAAAACACATAATAGTCTAAGATATGAATACATTCTGGTTTCAATATTACTGAGTTTATAATAATTCTTAATCTCCCTTGTGATTTCTTCTGTGAACCACAAATTCACCTGGGATCACACACCCATGGATTATTTTAGAAAGAAATAATTTCAACATCTGACACCCAAGCTCCCACCAAGCCATTTAATGTCAGAAACTTAAAAATATTGCTGTGAACCAGAAGTTGTGGTGCACACCTCCTATCAGCTCGGAGGCTGAGGCAGGAGGATCACAAGTTCAAAGGCAGCCTCAGCAACTTACTGAGGCCCTGTCTCTAAATAAAATATAAGAAAGGGCTGGGGATGTGGCTCAGTGGTTGAGCGCCTCTGAGTTCAATCCCTGGTACCAAAAATAAATAAATAAATATGCTGTGGGTAAATTACCTGAAAGAAAAGGAGAAAATATTATTTTTCCTCTAAATAAAGGTTTCCCAAATTGACTCAGTAAGCCCTGCTTTTAATTTACAATTTGGAAGGTTGAAAGCCAACTAAAGATAAAGTTATTATCTACTTTGGGATCATATTCAAAACTGATTGATATTTACTGGTATGTTCTGAGGCATAGCTTTGTTTTTTTCAAAGGAACACACTGTAATAAAATGCTTTTGTTAGAAAAGGTAAGCACATTATATAATTTTTATTCTGAATGGAAAATATAGTGTTAACACAATCACTGATCTCCTTTGCTGTAATCTTTTTATAAACTTTTATAAAAATTCCCCAGATTTTTATGTCCAAGGAAAAATACATTTTGGATTATAATTTTTTGTCTATAAACTTCACTGAGATAAATAGCCAGTTTAGATTACCACCTGTGCATTTAGTTTCCATAAATAAATTAACAAATCTACTGCATTGAGCCATACAAAATTGGTGATATTAGACTTTTTTTTAAAATGGCATTATATGGTTCAACAGAACAATTAAAGAAGTCCTCTCTATTGTGACTTCTGCATAGACCATTCTAATACAACCTCATCTATGATACACCAAAATTTCTCAAGACACATCAGTATTTCTCAATCTTGAAAATTTTATTTAGTTAAAATAAGGATCAAGTGCTACTACAGTTAAAAGCACAGCATTTGGAGTCTTTTATTTACTTTATCTTATAGGTAGGCAAGAAGTCTATAGTGTTTGGGGCGGTTTCCCTTTCCTTCCCTACCAGCTCCCCGTTTGCCACATATCCAGAACTGTTTATCAACTGGTAGTGTATTTATTATGATTACAGGCTGGAAGGGGAGTAGAGATTCCTTGCTAAACATCCTCTCTCTTCTCCCTGAGAAGACAGTCTCTTTCCTATTTCCATTTACATCATTCTTTGTCTACTATAATTATAATTTCCGGAGTTTGTAAAAGTCTGCTTCACTTGATCCACACTCTAAATACAGCAAAAGAAAATGTTTGTAACATTTGCGAAGTCTGTATTAGAGTTCTAGAATTTTCTATAGAGTTTTATTTGAAAATAGTTTTAAAAAGATATTTATCAAGGTTATCAAGTTGGGAAATAACAGGTAATTTGCTTTTATTTATTTTTGTGGTGCTGGGAATTAAACCCAGGGTCTTGCCTGTGCTACTCAAGTACTCTGCCACTGAGCTGCATTCTAAGCCCACCAGAGGTTTTCAATATGGATACATAAAACATCAACAAAAGCCCCGGCTTTTGTTATGTTACACTTGTGTTTTAAGAGGTACCATTTAAAATGGCTTCAATGAGAGGACTTGGAAAGAAAACTGAAGAGTAATAGTCTTTTAAAGAATGAGGCTCTAGGGCTGGGGTTGTGGCTCAAGTGGTAGAGTGCACACCTAGCACATGTGAGGCACTGGGTTCGATCCTCAGCACCACATAAAAATAAAGATATTTTATCCACCTAAAAATAAAAAATAAATCAAATTATAAGAATGAGGCTCTAACTTCCAGATGAGCAGGTAAGGCACTGCCTCTAAAGTGGCACCAGTATTGCTTCTATTGTATTTTTATTCCTCTTACCCAAATGTCCACATTTTTGCACATGTAATAGTTTCAGCCATGTAATATTCTGGCATATCCATGATGTTCAATAAAATACCTTATATAGCCAGGCATGGTGGTGCACACTTTAATTCCAGTGGCTCGGGAGGGTGAGACCAGAGGATCTCGAATTCAAAGCTAGCCTCAGCAAAAAGCAAGGCACTAAGCAACTCATTGTGAGACCTTGTCTCTAAATAAATACAAAATAGGGTTGGGGATGTGGCTCAGTGGTCGAGTGCCCCTGAATTCAATCCCTAGTAACCCCCGCCACCCTCAAAAAATACCTTATATATAAAAGAAAAAAAAACCTCTCTTAAAAATCCATGCTAGTTCTGTACCTCTCATCTCAATATAAAAAAGCAAAATAGTAATTATTGCAGAATCATCCATCTCTTAGATATTATTAAGTATATATTTCACAAGATCAAATATATTGATTATAATATTTTATGATATTACAACATGATCAGAATTACAGAATAGTTAGTACATTATTAATAAAAAATTTCCAAAGAAATTTTGTGAATTTTATTAAAGTCCCAGAAGCCTATTATTTGAAAATAAGTACTTCTGAGATAAGAAACAAAGGCATGTCATGATGTTTGAATGTACATATTGTTTCACACAGTTTTTAAAAGGACTTTACCATCATTTCATTGATCAATATTAAAACCTCTGTAAGATAAGAACAAGTATTATAACTGATATTTTACATGTAGCAAGTTATTACGATGTGGTTAGAAATAAAACTCAGGCCTTTTCATCCTTATAATAATGCTAATCCATCTGGAATTCCAAAGACTAATATATAATGTATTATATTCCGTATTTTAATTAGAAACCACAGAATCAATGGTGACTACTTTCTTTCAAATTGTCTCTAACGAATTCCATTCCAACTCCTTAACAGCTTGAACGTCTATCTTCTGTAATATAACCTTAATTAAAGCTCTCATCTTGTGCCAGGATCACCTGGCCTCCACTCCCTTCCTATGAATCTTCAGCTGTGATGCTGCCAGAAGAGTAAGCTTTTGGAAACAGGATGCAGGGGCACTGGGGGTGTAGCTCAGGAGTGAAACACACAAGCACAAGGCCCTGGGTTCAATCCCCAAGACCACTAAGGAAAATTAGCATAAATAAATAAAATCTAATTCTGTAAGTGTCACTCCTATATTTGAAAACTGATGGCTGGCTACTGTTCAGAATGGTAGTTTTTAAACTATGCACTTGGGGACTTTTGTTAAATTGGACAAAGGTGTCTATGGTGGCTAAAAATCAAGAAATACCAACCAGTTTACTTACTGGAACAAAAAAAAAAATTAAAGAGATACAGCTACGTTTTAAAAAATGTCTTCTTACGTATTTCAGATTTCTTATAGTTTGTCTACTAAACAGACCTAACAGGTATCCAAATAATAAAATAAAAAGCAATGTTAACTCTGAAAGAATCAACTATGCTTATTTTTGCCCCTTTTGAGGTAGTGGAAAATATGCTCATGATTCTTTTTTATACAATATATAGGTCACGTTTTTTCCAGTTCATAGGATACTTAAACGTATGCATAAAAAACTAGAAACTAACAACTTCTACATATGCTGTTTCTTGAACAAATCTGAAAACCACATTTTACCCCTGTGAAACCTTTGGCAGTTTACGCACTGTTCTTGTAGTTGAACGTATAACCTTTCACTGATGCACACACATACCATTGCATTTTACTCATTTACTAAATGTCTCTGGAATTCCGTAGTGAGGTGACTAAGGACAGAAGCGCATGCAATTCACCCTTAAATCACAAATGCCTGACATATAGTATGCACTTGATGAATACTTGTTAGAAAAAGCACTGAGTTTATGTGAGAAAGACTGCCAATTATTTATTACAGGTGTAGAGTTTCATAACTGTAGAACAAAGTGTATAAAATTATTTTCTGATTCCAGCATAATATGTGACATATTATAAAAATGAAATAATATAGTTCTAAAACTATTTAAATTCATACTTTATAATACACTAGGCAAGACAGTAAGTTGGATACAGCAAAACTCAATTAAAAACATGTCAATGTCAATTTTTAGGGAGTTTCTTAAAAACATGCAGTCCTTAGAGCCATCAAGTTAAATTAGGATTCAGTCCATCCCACAAAACTGAATTATAATTGTAAAGCATTTTAAATTCTATCAACAATAACTGGATAATAAGTATTAAATTGTCTTTTCATGCCTCCTATATTAAAAAAAAAAAGGTATGTACCTAGCCTAGTGAACCCTATTCAGTCTCTACACACATGAGAACTTAAACATGAAAGCAAACAAACAAAAATCTATTTCATTGGTAGAGTGCTTGACAAGCACATGCAAGGGTTCAATCCTCAGCACTTCAAAACTGAAACTAACCTAATGACATTGAAATCATTACTTTATTATTTCAAGTCAAAATTCTACAGAAAGAAAAGCTTGCTGACATAGTTCGCATGGTGAAAAGTACTTAATTTTTGTCTTTTTAGAAGTGTATTCCAAGCTTTAGGTTTTTGTTTTTATTTATTTTTTAAAAGTTTGGAGCCTACCAGACATCACCTATCAATTATAATTAGTGGGCAGGGAATACAACAGCCAGAGACACACTTCATGGGTGCTAAGGTTTATGGATTACAACTGCCATTAAATATCATACTTGCTTCAGTCTGATTATAAGTCCTAAGGCCTATGGGCCAGAGGTAATATGCATGTATGTTTTAAAAGTCAGTATTTTAAGACAAACTATGAAAAGATCAAATATAAGGAAAAAAAAAAAAAAAAAGAACCAACCAGAACTACTTACAGCCAGCAAGTAGGAACTGATAATACTGTACTGCATCTGCAGCAAGGAGCAGAGGGTGGTTTGCATTAAATGGTGGTTGCAATTCATTCCACTGAGGCGTTCTAAAGAAACAGTGAAGAATATTAATATTTAAACTTAATAAATGGAATGTAAATCACCATGACTGTCATCATTATAGACACTGACAGAAATTCACACTATCTTTGTAATCATTAAAATGAAGTTGTAATCATTAAAACAAAGGTGCTAAAACCTGAAATACAAGTCCATCTGATTAGAAAAAATAAAAAGATGGCAATGTGTCATACAGTGATATGGAGCCAACACTGTCTAACAGAAGAAGGCTCTCCAATAGCAGACACATAACATTCAGAATGTAGAACAGAGAGGGAATGTGGAATTCAAAGCCACAACTAAAGGGTTCTAATTTTATGTAGTTTTTGACCAGAGTAGGACCTTCTCTATTCTTAGAATATGTGTATATTTTAAAATGAAATGAGTCACGTAAAATGGTTAAAAAAAAAAAAAAAACACAGCTGTGTAAATGGATGACTTCTTCTAGATCTAATTAGGATCTGAAATCCAAAATAGGCCACTATTTCAACAATGATGCTGCAGTAATTTTAATCAGATCTGCCCAATTCTAAATAAGCTTGATAAATCAGATATTGATCAAATCAATCCAGCACAGTAAAGTAGTAGTAAAGAATGCTGGAGCCGCCAAAAATCAATATAAGAATATTTTAAAATGTCAAAAAGGAGAGGGGTCATTTTCATATCAATTTTTGTCTGTTTCCTTCCATATATGTCAGGAGCAATCTCTTCTCTCCTGGACAATGCACTATATTGAGCAGCTTTTATTCCAGGTTTCATTTCTCCCTCTTTGTGACTCTTTTAAGACTCTCATTATTATGCACTTTTGAGATGGACTCTGGTTCTTAATAAACATTCTACAGTGCTTAACCATTGTATCTTGGGGGATCACTTTAAAGGAAACCTTCAAATCTATTTATATTACTTTTTATTCCCCTAATGGCTGCCTCAATGCTACTCATTATTTTCAGTGACCAGAGACAGTAAGTAAGGAAAATGTAAGTGAAGGTAACACAAAGATGCAAAGAGTTCACAAAAAGTTGTTCTCCAGGTTTGTACCTGAGACAATTAAAACATATGTCCACACAAAAATTTGTATATGACGTTCATAGCCCAATTATTAAAGAAAGCTCAAAAGTAGAAATGTTCATCAACACATGACTGGGTGAACAAAATGTGGTATATCCACATAATGGAATGTAACTTAGCTATAAAAGACTGAAGTTCTGACACATGGCAGTATATGGATGGATGCTGAAAACATGCCAAGTGAACAAACACAGACACAGAAGGTATTATATTGTATGGTTCCATCATTATTTAATGACCAGTATAGGAAAATCCACAGAAACATTAAGTAGATTGGTGCTTAAATAGAAATCCAGGGTTAGGGGAAACTGTAGAATGACTGCTACAGGGTTTCTTTATGTGGAGATAAAAACTGAATATAGGGATGATTGCACAACTCTGTGAAAAGTAATGTTTAGTAGTTGGATTTTATTGAATATAAATTAGGTCAAAGGAAAAAGGTCATGAACTATAATTTTGATAGGTGAAAGAAAGCAGGCAAGAGAATGCCTACTCTAATTAAAATAACAACAACAACAACAATAATAATAATATTAGAAAAGGGATCAGTAAAGTACAGCAAGTGGTTGTACTTCAGGAAAGGGAGGGGGAAGGGAAAAGGTCAAGGGGAATGAGATTGATCAAATTAAGTGTATTTACAAATACAGCACAATGAATCCAACTCTCAAGGATAATTATAATGAACCAATTTTTAAAATAAAAATGCATATTACATGATTCCATTTGTATAAAATTCTAGTGACAAAGATGGGAGAAAAGAGAGATCCTAAATGGGCACAAACATCCTTCTGGGAATGATAAATATATCAAGATGATCCTGAAGATAATTTCATAGCTGTATATGTATGTTGAACATTATTGAATGGTACATTTTTAATCTTTCATACCTCAGTAAACCTGTTTTTCAAAAGGAAGAAAGACAGGAGTTACTACCTAACCAGAGTCCAGCTGGCTCGAGGTGATGTCATCATTTCCAGTGGAGTGTCATCACTAATCTTGGGAGCAGTGCTGAGGGGTCGAGGCTCCATCATGTGCTCCACCAAGGTTCCATAGCAACTGATAATGTAGAGAGATTCAACTACGACTTGTTTGGACTGATCTACAAACAGACAAACAGAACCTGAATATGTGACGGTGGCACAAAAATCGCACAGCATAATCTGTAGAAGTTATTGATCGTACTGGTCTGCTCCTGAGGCTGCTGAGAGAAAATGAAAAGATAGGAATGTTGTTATATGGTGCCTGCTCCTTTCCTAAAGGCTGACTGGCATAAGCAGATGCTAGGGTGACACATGCCTATAATCCCAGGGACTTGGGAGGCTGAGGCAGGAGAATCCCAAGTTCAAAGCAAGCCTCAGCAACTTAGCAAGACCTTAAGCAACTTAAAAACACCCTGCCTCAAAATAAAATATAAAAAAGGATTGGAGATGTGGTTCAGTGGTTAAGGGGGTAAGCACCCCTGAGTTCAATCCCTGGTACCAGAAAAAAAAAAAAAAAAAGTAGATGCTAATGAGTGGGAAAAGCTCTGTGCTATCACAGAATTTCCAAATATCAAACAATTTATTTCAAGAATAATATGACTATGCTCAAAATTCAAATACACCTAAACAATGTAGTTCTATACTTTTTATATTTGTCTATCATGTAATTTGTTCCACATTAAGAAAAATGAGTGTCAGTTGGAGCAGGGAAGGAATCACTAAACAGAAATAATCTACACACTAGGATTTAGTTACATTGGATACAGCAACTGAACTGCATGAAAAGCTACCTTTATGCCTAAATGAGCCGAACCCCTCATCTACTTTTTCCTCAGAAAACTTAAATTTAAAACTCAAATTTCTAGATCAAAACAAATGAAAATTACATCAACTTCAATGGAGGTTCATCAGTTGAAACAAATGTACCAATCTGATGATGGGAGGGAGGCTGAGAATGGAGGAAGCCGTGTACATATGGGGTAGGATGTAAGAGAATTCTCTTTTTCTCAATTTTGCTGTGAATCTGGAATGACTAGAGAAAAATGAGATCTATTAAAAATGTGTGCCCATGCACACACATTCATCCTCCTCACTTAAACCCGTGCTTTCTCTCAAAGGGATCACTGGTTCTCAAGTGAAGATCAGTCATGCATTGAGAAGTCAGGTGCTGAATATGGATCTAATCGAATGACTTTATAAGGAATACACATGTACTCACTGCCAAAACAGGTTTAATGCTTACTCTCAGGTTTTACAGTAAACCAAGGAGCATATAAAATCACTCATGAATGCTGGGTGGGTCATCTTATCTCTGTGTCAGACGAATCAATTACAGCTGATTTGAGAAAATGGCTAATGACCAGCCAGTGGGACATAAAGGAGTAGCAAGTTAAAAGGGTAATTAGAACAGAAGGGAAAAGCATTGGAAACTGAGCTCCACAGAAGTTTCTAACGAGTAACAAAAAGTCCTTTCGATAGCATCATTAAACCTAAGGAGGTAACAAAAAAATAAAGATGGGATAAGGAAATGGAAGGCTTGCATACTTCACGGTATCCTCTCTCACTTAGGTAAAGAACCTGCTGTGCCTGGGATCCTATTACTGAGGGAAGAGTCACTGAAAGGCGATAACGAGGGAAAGGGCTGATGTCTGACTGCCAGGATTAAGTGTAAAGGAGAGCCATTTTGCCAAGAACAATACAGTCTGTGGAACTCACCAGAAGTGCCTCAGTAACAACCCAGTTAGTGACCTAATTAAATAATACTAAAATAATATAGGGAAAATTGTTCCTTAACATTCATACTTAGTTTATGAATGTAGGAATTCTCTTCAATACAGACACAATAAGCAATCACATACTAAAACATTAATCATACAAACATTTTAGGTATCGATCCTGGAAATCAAATCAGGAATTAAAAACATAATAACTATATCAATTCAAAGGACCAATGGTAGCCACAAAAATTGACTCATTTTTCTCAGTGACAGGCTGGTTTGTCTGTTAAAAAACATGACAGAGTTGTTGCTGGTTTTATGTTTTTCTCCTAAAGTCAAGATTTAGCATTAGAAAGGTGATTTCAAACTCTGGTTCCATCACCTACTAATCTATGGTCTTTAGTTAAGCTATTTAAACTTTCTGATTTCAAATTCCTCATCTCTAAAATATGGACAAGCAAGGTTTTCTTCCACACTTTAGAGACAATGATGTAAAATCTGCTTGTAAAAATGTAAAAGTTATAATATGAATATGGAATTTACATCATTGTAATCACTTGTACACTGTCATCAATGAAACAAGACAAAAATCACACAGTGGAAAATTCATTCCATTTCATAGAATTTCATTCTTTGTGAGAGGGTAGATTTTATTCTTGACTAAGTTTGAGTAGTTGAAGAAAGACTACTAACTAAAAAAAAAAAATAACAAATTTTTCTTTTAGCAAAAGCTAAGACTATTTGGTACAAGATTATTCTAGGGGAACTACTACCAATTTTCCTTAGGAAGCAAAAATTGTAAATTGCAAATTTGAACTTCAGTAAAAAATACATACCTTTTTCTCTTTTAAGACCTGCATTATTTGCAAACCATGACCTGGATGTCCCAAAGATAGCAGCCACACAAAATTCTCCGCCCATCGATTTGCTGGGTGAAATTTGTGGAGGTGGTTTAACTTTGCTTAAAAAATAAAATGACATTAAAAAAAATTACCATGATGAAATGACTTGATCACTGCAGACAACAAAACATTTTCCTCTCAGTTCCACCCCCACGTGTTCAAATGCTATAATATGGACATGCATTTTGCCTTAATAATGTGAGACTATGTTTGGGAATAAAATTAAAACTAGTTCAAAGTCACAAAGTCTTGTCAAAAGAGAAAAATATATGACCAAAACCAAAATTCTAAATTTTGGTTTGGGGAATTTTAAAACAAAATTCTTATCCAGGTGCAGTGGAGTGCATTTGTAGTCTGAACTGCCAAGCAGGTGGAGGCAGAAAGAAAACCTGGGCCCAGGAGTTCCAGGCCAGCCTGGACAAAACAGTGAGGTCCAGTCTCCATAACAAAAGCAACAAAAATTTCATTTCGAAGTATGTGCTGGCAAAATCCAAGACAAGTTACTTAAATATCTCGCAATAACAAAATGGATTATCATTTCATTTTGATACATAAAACATGGGGTTAACAATATGGGTGAATGGCAACAGCATTATGAAAATGAAACAATACAGGATGAAACCCTGAAAGTGCTCTCAGCCACAGTGCTATGTCTAGTCAGATCCTGCAGGAGAAGATCTAGTGATCTACGGCAATTGTATTCTTCCTATCTGTTGTTTCTTTTTCTTCATGGATTTGTGAAAATAATGTGTCTATTACTGGGTAAGGGGTGGCATTAAAGCAGAGTTCAATATTCGTAGCATTTGAAACATAAATCTGTTCTGCTTTTCCTATGTCTGAGGACACATTTAGTAACTGTTACTCCTTCAAAGGACTTCCATTATAAAAAACTTGCTTTCCTCTTTGTTTTTCACAAATAAGAGTTCACACCCTCAAATTCTAATATTTATCTTTCATCTTCTTTCAAATGCTATACTTCTGTTCTCTTTTAATTTATCAAGATCTTCCCCCAAAGTTCATTAGGAATTCTGTCAACCACCTTAGATAATTATTTTCTCCAACTCATACACCAGAAAATAATCTCACTGGTTATTGGTGAACATCACAACTTTGATGGAATACAATGAACTCGAGTTCTGATGTTCCAGCCCTGCAGGTTAGTCCTCAATATAAAACCATAATGTTTCTGCCTTCTTTTGTTCACTTTACTTTATCCCTTTATCTTTTAATAAAGTATAGGCAGATGGAATGAGATTAGTTTCTAGAAGAAACCTGAATTTGAATCCCAATGCTGCCATTTATTAGCTAGGTTCTTCTGGTTAATTTATTTAACCTCTGAGAGCTAAAACTACCAATATGTAAAATATAAATAGTAATTCCTATCATACATAGTTATCTTAAGTATTATATTTATTCTTAAATCTAGTCCATAGCTAGTAATACCACCTGGAAAGTTCTGAGACTTGCAGGCTAATACTGATCAGACCACATGCCAGACTCACTAAGCCAAAAACTTTACTCTTTTTTCTTTTCTTTTTTTTTTTTTTTTTTGGTGGTACTAAGGATTGAACCCGGGGTTACTCACCACTGAACTACACTCCCAGCCCTTTTATATTTTTCAATACAGTCTTGCTCAGTTGCCAAAACCTACTTTGAACTTGCAATCCCAAATTGTTGGGATTACAGGCATATGCCACTATACCCCGCTAAACCAAGAGCTTCAGGGCAGAACCCAACAAACTATGTATTTAAACCCTCCAAAATATTCTGATGTATGTTCATGTTTGACATTCTATTTGATAAAGCATGTAAAATTCCCAGGCAGGTGCTTTCCCAATCATAGGACTCAAATACATTTCTCTTTTACTTAGCTCACAGACCTCACCTAATTTTCAAAGTCAGACTTTGCTTTGACAATCTCAGTTTCCCAATTTCTATGACACTTGAAATAGTCTCTCAGATATCTTAGTTCCTGCGCCTTCTGTTTGACATCTTCCCTCTATGGAAACAAAACCTCTGTATCAGATGCTACTATGATTGTTCCCACTGCTCTCCTCCTTTGAACCAAATCCTTGCACACTGCTGTATGTGAAAAAGAGTCTTCTTTCCATCATTAACACTGACTATACATTTCACACCACTCTCCAAAAGAATCGCACCCATGCATAAATAATCAAAACCAGTCATAATAAAACTTTCAGTTGGGGGGAATTATGACAGTTTAACAGATATTTCTGTGAGAAAATGAATCTGGTTATACGATTTGCCTTCTTCTTAGTTGGATATGTCACAACTGCAATAAGCTACTTCCAGAAAAGAAGATGCCCCTATACCCTACACCTGAACAAGCATGTCCCTTCCCCTGGTATGTGGGTCATTGGCATCAGAATTCTTTCTGGTTATGGTGTTCTTTGCTGCATTACATTAGAATGTATGTTTTCCTTCAAAGCTTTTCTTTACATAACTGAACCACTATCATTGAGCTGAAAAGTTCCTGCAACTGGCATCTGTGAAGTACCATTGGTTATTTTTATCCTTACAGGTTGGAGAGGTTGGGAGGGGTGGGGAAGAGGAGAGAGGAAACCATTCTAGAATCTTTTGCAAGGTGTTTACAACTGTGTGACCAGGTGTTTTGTTTGTTTGTTTGTTTGTTTGTTTGTTTTACTAGAATCACCATCAGGGAATAATGATACTACGATGTGAAAATGAGCTTACAGGGACATATTTAAAGCTTTTTGCAAATTACTGGATGTGATTTTTGTTGTTGTTTCTAAATCATGAGGTGATGAGTATACCACTTAGTAAGAGAAAATATGGTTCCACTAAGGTATGCATATAAACAGATTAAAAATCGTTGTTACTAGGCTGGGTGGCCATTTTTCTAATATCATATAATGAGTAGAAAAATGATAGGACATAAATTTAGTCTTTTGGACAAAAAAATATATATATTCTCTGTGCTTATTAGCTGACGGTCTGATAAACCTATGTCCAAAGCTAAAATCTCTAGTACTTCTATAAGTAACACATGTTTCAGTTTGGGAACACAGAAGTGAAAAGAATCAATGCAGTGCCATTTTACAGAAGACCATTATCTCCTACAGGGAATATTTTATGGTAAAATTGTGTTTAGTTTATGAAAAGATTGTCATTTTTATTCCTAGATTTCATCATTTCTTCTTTTTTCTCTGATAGGACCTTCATCAATCTCATAGGTAAACATTTGCGCTTAATCAGGAATCAAGAGTTTACATCCCTCAAAATAGCCTGCCATCAGCCAGGTGTGGTACACGACTTAACCCCAGCAACTCAAGCAGCTGAGTCAGGAGGATTGCAAGTTTGAGGTCAGCCTCAGCAACATAGGGCTAGGGATGTAGCTCAGTGATGAAGTGCCTCTGGGTTCAACCCCTGGTATACACCCACCAAACATGACAAATTGCTATGTATAAAATGACATAGTGCTTTACACTGGGGATGGAGGGTACTGGGCAAACACATTCATATTGAGTTTTTTCTATCATCCATCTACATCTGGAACAATTTTGATATTTAAGCAAAACAGAATCATAAAAATATGTGCATATGGGCTTGCAGAGGAATAAAAAGGAGAAGCAATCTAATGAAAAGAATGCCATTAATAAAATATTTTCTGTGTAACAGACGCAAAGTTAGAAATTCTCTCTTTTGCTCAATTTGTCCTTTGTCCTACCATTCAAAGACTTTGTCCAGGAATGCTTGGTAGAAGCAGAATGGCTTTTCTACTAAAATGTGTCAGCTATACACTATACACGAACGTTTACACAATGACCCAAAATATTTCTATCACAAAGTAAACTTTGTTGACCTTAAGATAAAACACTAAAAAGTGATACATATGCAAATAGAATAAGAAAGTACTAGCCTTGTAAATAGTGTAAATTTACAGATTGGTGACTCAATCCTTATAAGAAAGTGCCCTGATATTTATTAAACATTTTTTCAGTGTTTGCTCTAAATATCCCTCTTTGTCCTCCTAAATGGGACTTAACAAATCCCATCAAAGAATATTTGCAAGTTTAAAAAGACTAACTCTGGGTGTTTAAAGGCCCTCTTTTTATTAGTTGACCTTTCTTTATTCGTTTATTAAACTGACAGTATGATATCAAATAATATTTAATATTTAAATTTATATTGGTGCCTAAAAATTTAACTGGATCATGTGGACTCATCCTTTTCTTTTTTTCTGTTTTCCTTTTTTGAGAGGGTAGGAGTAGGGGTACTGGGATTGAACCCAGAGGCACTTTACCACTGCCACATCCCAGGTCCTTTTAATTTTTATTTTGAGACAGGGTCTCACTAAGTTGCTTAGGGCCTCACTAAATTGTTAAGGCTGAGCTTGAACTTATGATCCTCCTGCCTCAGCCTCCCAAGTTGCTGGGATTACAGGAATGAGCCACTAAGCCCAGCCCAGTCTTTTTCAAATGATTATACATAAGAACAAAACATAACTGATAATCCTGATGAACTCCTTTCTACAGATTACTCCTGCTCTTTTATTCCTTTTCATGTTTTACAAATAACCCCACATTCATTTTTTTTATTTCGTTTAACTTTTGAAGCAAAACATAAAAGAAAAATGCAATGAATCCCACATTCACCATGTCAGAAAAAATAACGGTCATAGAACATTTCATTTACTAAGCCTAATACAAATGAATAAAATCAAAAGAATAAAAAACATATAAGCAAACCAAAATAAACAAACAAGGTACTAAATGAAAATTCAGGAGTTTAACTCTGTCATTTCTTTAAGACTTAACCATTGCAAATATCTTCACTGACAACAGAGGAAGTATAGGGATATTAACATCCCTAGGATTTCAACAATATTTAGAAAGCCTATTGAAGTTCTGCATCTTTCTCCCATTGGCTTCTACTGTATTATGATCTCCAGTCAGATTAACATATTAAATTTCTCTTGCCTGTCTTTTCTCCACACTCAACTGCAAACAAGAGGAGAAAAAAAGAAAAGGAAAAAAAACCTCTAGTGGTATCTGCTTTAAAAACACAGAACCATGATTCCATCTGGATAAGTTTACTCTGCACCATAGGATAGGAAGTCCGTGGTGTACTGTGGACAGCGTGAAAAGCAGCAATGAAGCAGTGCCCTCTTCAGCAGGACACAGCATGAGAAGTACTAACATGAGATAGAAGCACCATTTCTTTCTTTTTCAATAACATAAACGAATCATCAATATTTGAGTTTAAATGGAAAACACAGTACCAATTCAAGAACCATAAGTAGTATAATAACCTTCTGCTCCAGAAATAATTTTCTTTATATTCATCTCTAAGATTAAACTCTTAGAAGGAATTTAGAAATATTCTCTCAGTCTCAATTGTTTTTTTGTGGAATAAGACCCCTAAGAAAGGAAACTGGAAGCATTTTATTTTAAATAATGAAATATGTTAATCATCTACCTAAAATTATTCTTTTAATCACAATTTATTGTAAATTTAGCGGGTAAGAAGTCTATTCTCCATATAAATCTTAACTTTAAAAATGAAATTATAAAATTCTTAAATATTCTAAAGAAAACAAGAGTTCTTTACATGAACTATTTGTACTATAATCAAGTACTCATAGAAAATACTAATTAAAACTTCAAATATAATTTGATAAAGTAAATTTTAATTTTTCTTTAAAATTAACCTTAGATAATACAAAAACAATTTATGAGTGAGGGATAGTTCAATGTGGACTATCTACAGCATGTCCTTTATGTATGTGTGTATGTGTATTTCTACCCAAAGCAATTAAACAATAACAGTAGCTTAGAATCTGTACTACAGATTTACGAGCTTAATTCTTGTTACCTATTTGTAATATTGAAATCAAAATTCAGTCTTAAAAATTTACACTGGAAAATATTTTTAAAAAGAAAAAAATTTATACTGGAATTATTTATTTTAAATTCCTATATTTAAATAGGTATGCTACAAGTGTAAATCTTTCACATTATTTAATATGGTCATTCAAGATCCACTATTCTTAACTAACCTAGAGAATGCAAAATCCTGGGAAGTCTAAACTGACTTTAAGGTCAAGGAGGGCCCACACAGTCTGCTTTCCAATAAACTTATTTTTATATCAAAGAAAAGACATAATTTTTAAACTGACTCATTTGAAACTGCATGAATTAAAGAATTAAATCCTACTGGTGAAGAATAAACAATTAGTAGAAATTGTGACATACCAAAGCAAAATCTTAACCATGTACAAATGTCACAAGTTGAAACTGATTTAAAAAAAAAATGTAAGAAGTTTACATTTTAAGAGAAATTGTAAAAATTTCATTTTCATCTAAAATGTAAATATTTCCCTACAACTGGAAGTACTATAAATATTTAGCATGATGTTTTATTTCAGAAGAGTAAATAAAAACATTGTCAAGTTGAATGTTAAATATCATGGAAAAACAGCAAAAACTATTAAAACAAAGGCGCTCTTATAAACAACAGGGAAGAAGTTGTCAAATTGATATTCATTTTGCTGTCTTAATTTGAGGTTTCATTAAGATCTTAATGGAAAAAACATGCACCCCTGGTGAAGTAACATATTTTAAAGGAGGACCTTTTAGTCTAGTATAAGTGACTAAAAACGAGTTTCTTGTGAGCTAACGATGGCATCAAACAAACCACAAAAGCAGTCTTCTAAAAGACAGGCAATGATTTAAAAGTCTACTATATTTCATATATCCCTTTCTTTAATCTGGCTCTTTTAATCTTGTTTCAACCTCAAATCATTTCTGGTTGACAAGTGCTTTTGCTTAAATGCGAGGCTCACATGAGCTGTTGGGGGAATGGACTTTTCTTATTTAACATACAACATTTGTTACTCCATTTTTGGTTCTATGTGAAAACTTCAATCTTTATTACCATATAAAAACTATTTTCTTTGTACTCAGAATGAGGAATTTACGCTAAAATGGAATTTAATTCTAAGTTTGGTGTACAAAGAAATGTTGTGATATGTTGAATATGGCATTTGAAAGTCATACTGCTCACTATAAGTTCAAAAAATTCATGAAGTTTAGTTGTTTTTAGACAAAATCTGGTTAACAAAAAGAATTAAGATAAATTTTTAGAGGATTTATACTCATGTGTACCCTGAATTTGTTAAGAATAATTTTGTGAATTCTTTTTAATTTTGGTTCTGCATTTCAAGAAGGCACATTCATAGTGAGTTGTTTTATGTCATCTTACATGATAAAGAAAATTTCAGATGTTCTCATGGTATATGAACACTGAAAATAGTCTGTGTGAAATAATAATCAACTTTAGAGAATGATTCAGCTTATTTTGTCCATGAGAGAAAGCAAAATGTTGTTTCTAATATAACAGGACAATGAAGGAATCTCAGAAGCGACCACGAGAACAACACATATATGTGTGGCACTCTTGTAAGTATTCTCATTTAGTAAAACTGATATACCTTACATGTCCCAAAACTTCCTTTTGGTTAGCATGCTTTTAAAAGCAAAAAAAAAAAAAAACAAAAAAACCCACAATCTAATTTAAAGAGGCACCTCTACAAACATGGGATTTACCCCTTAAACAGGGTACTGGGGTAAGATACAGTAGTTATAGTAGCAATAACTTTTTACATTTAGTGAGTAGTTACTATATGCCAGGCACTGCTATATATTGCTATTATATTCTGTTATGTACTACTGATTTTATATATATATATATGTATTTGTATATATTTATATATATTACTAATTTTATATATACTTACAAATTCGTTCATTTAATTCTGACAATAAACCAAGAAGGTTTATTGATTTCATTAAATAGATAAGGAAAACAAAAACCAGGTTTTAGAAAATTATCATATAGCTATTAAATATGTGAGTTTGGATTTAAGACACAAGCAATATGATTCTGTATCCCTGACTTTAAACCACTAAAACATTTTATATCAGATTCTTAATGCATTCTAATTCACATCTTTAAATTAAAATATGAAACATACTCTACTTTGTTGTTATGATCATCATGCCCAAGACTGACAAAGCTATATTCATTATACTGTTATAAGATAATTTACTAAATAATTTAGGTATGAATAAGTGCTAATAATTCAAAATTTTAAAAATCACTTAGGAGTTTTCATATGAATATATATTTCCTCATCCCGTAGCTCTTTAAATACTAAACTACCCCCAAACAACTCAATGTTGCCCTTTTAGGACCAAATAAAATGCAGTAAAACTTTAGAGGGCATTTTTAGAATACCTTGAGTATATTTATATTTCAAAATAACTCACATCCTCTCATGTGAGTTATGATATGTGGGGAACTTCCATCACTTCAATATCCAAAGCTCTAAACTTGGGTGTTAGTCATGTCTTGTAATATCCACCAACACCATGAGAGAATTCTTCCATTTTTTTTTTCAAACACATCTGATATTTTTTAACTTTCCAAGGAATGAAGTTAAACCAAGAAAATTGCTTTTTTAAAGCTTAAATATCAACATTCATGTCTTATCTACAAATTATTCAATAACTTGGTGCATCTATCTGTGAACAGGCCATGCAACTGAAAACAAAACAGAGTAACTTTTTGAGAGTACAGCAAATGAATTAGGCATGCGGGACTGAACTGGAACTCACCATGGAGCTTTTATGGAAAAACACCCCGCTCCAAAGAGATAAGGCCTTCATGGAAAAGGGGGAAAAAATGCACAAAAAAAATTAGAGGAAAACTCAATTAACATTAACAAATACATGTATATCATACTGTTATAGAGTATGGATAAAAATAACTAAAAAATTAGCAATCATTTGCAATTCTGGTGTAGTACAGTCTGATATAATCCAAGAAATAGAATGATGTATAGTAACAAGGCCCTTAATTTTCAGAGTTAGGAATTTAAAATATTTCTATTTCTCCCCCTTTTCTGGAGCACACCTATAGCATTTCTAGCTTAAAATAATATTCACTGCTAAGGCCCTTAAAATAAGGCCCAAATTAAATGGAATAATCAGATGGAGACAAGCAATCCATGTGCAGTAGTGTGACACAAAATGTTTAAAATTAGCTAAAGATGACTAAATAAAATTTTTGATATGCCATTGTTTGCAGTCTCACAGCCACACAAAGAAAGAACTTACTTTTTAAGCTGTTTTTTTGTTGTAAGTTGAACTACATATTGTTGGTCAAAGGAACAAATGCTAAATATATACAGTATGATTTTTCTCTAATTTTGGTCACATTTCAGGCAATTAAGCATCTCTCTTAATAGTAGTACAAAAGGTTAGCCTCTTCTACCTGTCCTCTTCTGGGCTAGACTGGAATATAGTAAGCATACAACTACATGCTTTAAACACAACAAGGGATGCAAAGCCAGACTACATGTAAGTAGTACATGTAGTTCTACTTAAAATTCTGTTCCCAGAATTATGACATACCGTGCATATTTACACACAAGTAAGATTCAATGATTTAATTATATCCAAAACAAAATTTGACTATATTCACTGCATCTGACGTTTGGAAGACATAACAAAGAAACAGGAAGGCATATTAGTAAAACTTGGGTATTTCCTTCTTCAAATTTGGAGCTTGGAACATCTTTTTAAAATCCTGCTAATTAGCATTAATTTGCCATTAAATTGAGTACATTTGGCTACAAATTAAAACTTGAGCAATGTTTTCACAACAGTTATACAATCTCCTTGAAGCACAGGAGATACAAAGAAGAAACAGAAACATGTGAGAGATGACTAAAAGAAAGCAAGATAGAAAAGAGAAATCAATTTTAAAAACTTAAAGATGATATCAAGGCAAAGCAAGGATAGCCCTCCTACACTTAATGTAAGAACACAACCAGGGCTATGACACCACCACTCACACTTAATGGATTTGAAACTTTTTTGACTGGGAACTGTAGAGAACATTTTGGTATGTACATGAACACACAAAAAGACTGAAGTAACAATTCAGTGAATGTGGTTTTTATTTGTCATAAACACTATATTTTCCATTTCACATTCTGTAAATGCTGGGTTTTTGTTACAGTGCAAATAAATGCATATTCTAACGCATATTGATGGCTAGAGAGTCTCAGATTCTGTATCTCCAAAAAGCTACTAGTAAACACCAATGCTGCTGATCTGTAAAACCAATAGCAAAATTTCATTTATTATTCTATTTCAGTAAAGAAAAAAATGTTAGTCACAATCTCTTTATCTGATTTCAAGACTCATTAATCACATCAAAACCAAAATATTGCTAGAGTTCACCCTGCACTTTGAAAAACACAGATTTAAAAACCTGAGTCTTTCAACAGCATAGTGATAAAATGCAGAAATGATCAGAAAGCCAAAAAGGTTCAAGTCATTTCTATATGCTTAGAAAAACCTCCAAAATGAAAAGCTCTGGGCTGGCACACAGTACACAAAATCTTTAATTTTACTTTGTTAGGCAGGACATGTGAAATAACCAAATAGTCCAGATGATTCTGGCAGAAATTCTTGGAGTCTGAAGAACCAGACCTAACCTGCTCTTCAATGTACCTACAATGAACAGTTTCTCATCTCATCTCAAACATCAGAATACAACTGATAGATGGTAAGGAATTTGAAAGTTTTTACTTAGTTCTTTATGAGTTAAAAGAATTCTCCATGGACACCAAAAAACAACCAAGCAAAACTGAAACAAACCCTTGAAGTTTCTACATTTCAAACAACCTGATGTTCTCTACCTACATAGCTAGTAAATATCTTGATATATAAAATGGAAACATGTTATACCAACAAACAATACATAAACTTGAAAAGCAAATCTAGATATTCCTTTCCAGTCAGTAACAACACATCACCAACAAGAGATTCCTTACCCCATGATGCCAAAGTGTAGGTAAGTCTCCAGACACTGTAGCAAACAGGACTGTAGTGAATAATGGCATTGTCAACTTGAAAGACCCTACTTACTACCCACAATGTCACAAACCCACTTGTTTAAAACTTATCCAACTTCAATCAAATAGGAATCCACTAGGTTAATATAGCTCAACAAAAAGGACAAGGACTGGGGTGACAAGGTGAAAACCTGGCTTAATACATGGACTCAGCATGTACTCAATCTATATTCACCCCCCTTCTTGCCTGGTCCCACAACTGGACCTCTGCCACATACATGGGAAAGAAGATCTACAAACTCCAAAGAAATATAGTAACTGACGTAATTACTGACTTTGTAAGGAAAGTGTCAGCTGTTCTTTTGAAATGAGCCTACTTAATCTTTCCTCAGTAGTAAAAGAATGAAAATATGAAGTCACAAAGTATAAGTCCCTGATTCAGCTGTCTTCACCTATGACTCTCCCCTCCCTCCAGAGGCCCACAGCTGTAGTTTTGTACTGGAGTGGAAAGAGGGCAGGGAGAAAACCAAGCATGAGAGTGCAAGTGCATGTTGAATTAAAGACAGTGTGCATTACAACAGGCAACTCAAATTACTATATTTGGACTTGAAGAATTTGTGCTTTCCAATCAAGTTTTAGCAGGCCTAAACATCCTGCCATATAAAACCTGTTCACTATGTGATAATTATGACCACTTTGAACTGAATTCCAATTGAAAAACCTTAGGAAAATCTAGTCAAGAGATTAAAAATCCAGCAACATTTATTACAGAATTATTTATTGACCACTTGGAAGTGACCTGGCCACTAGTTCTCCAAGGAATTCTCCTGGAGTCTCTTAGGAAAAGGAAAGAATTATGTTTTATAACATACGATTCACGTTATTTAAGTCATTAAACTCTCAATCATTTTGTTGAACACCACATAACACCACAAGTCTTTGGTTCTACTAGCAGGAAAAAAAAAAAAGGCAAATGCCAAGTTTTTTTGTTTTTTTTTTTTTCATATAAGGAAAAAGTATAACCAGATTTGAAATGAACATGCTCAAACTCTCTAAACCTGACTTTAACACTAAAAGGTTATTAATAATGATTCTCTTTAGCATCTTCAGAGTGAAAAAAAGTATCTGGAGTCTAAGAGATGAATTATATATACATACTGTATTAATTCTATTTTTAACTGATCATGTTCTATCAGCAGGTTCTAACACAAAGCAGACCCCAGAACGAGACCATAAATAAATGTACTGAACAGAGAAAAATTCACAGTGTGTTACATGGAAAACACTAAAACGAAGTAACATTACTCTAAAAACAAATTCTAGGACCTCTACTACCTCACACTGTGTGCGCCTTCTCTCAAGTAGCAACGGAAGTGAATTCACACCTCCCACCTGCATAAAAGCAAATTACCCCCATGTCATTTTCATGTTTTTAAAATTTTCATTAATTTAATTTTAATTGCTTCAAAGCAAAGAGATCTATGGCACTGGGGCTCTCAATCTACTGCTCTGTAGAGCAAACTGAACCTGAAACAGACAACTGTCTAATTTGAGACATATTCGACATGCCAATTTAAATCACAAACTCAATATATAAAAGATTTTCATTAGAAAAATAGAGATAATGTTCAAATTCAATAATGTCAAACTTCTGTAGAATGTTATGCTTGCTGACTTTTAATATGGTATAATAGTAGACTTCATTTTAAAAAGTACCCAGATTTACAGTAAGATGCAATAAACTATGGTATGGTTTAAGTACTCTACTTATTTTGTACACACACACACAAAATAAATAAATAAATAAAAACTCAAACTATGTTAAATACATCACACATGTAAACATAAGCATATATAGTCTAATGAAAATATATTGTCCACTATTCTATATCTGGAACGAAACATTCAGAACTGAGTAATCAAGAACTAATAGTTCCACAGGACCAAGATAAGAAGTGGGAATTTGCCATTGCAATTGTATCTGACAGGTCTTTCTGCATAACTTTCCTACCTAACTCTCAGACCTTAGCCTATAAGATTCAGGGATCAGGTCAAATTGACTAAATAAATAAGCTAAGTTGACTCGAGTTAACATAAATAAGGAACGGACCTTCTTCAAAGTATGCCAATGTCACTAACTCACGTAGCAAGCTCTGATGACAGTTATTTTACAAATATCAATTGGTTATATTCAAATAAATGCTATTAATTGCTTCCATTTCTGAACATAAGCAAACACCCCTGTGTTGGGGCTTATGTTCAGCACTACTCAGGACAGCTCAACAGTGGGGAGGCTTTGAAATGAGTATATTAAATCGAAGAATGAATGGAAACTCACACATGGTAAGGCCAAAAAATTATAATCTATATAAATATATAACTTTTTTAGATTAGGAAACTGACCTAGGACACACAGATAGTCAGTGGCTAAACCAACATGAAAAAAGAAAGCTTTAGACTCACAATTATTTTTTTACTACCTTTCTATTTCTATAGGATGAAGCCCAAGTTTCCTAATGACTACCCCAAATTTCTTACAGAGAAAATAATAAATATAAAAAAGTGGAGAGAGAGGAAGAAAGTAGGAAGCTACTTTCATTTAAGAAAAAGTAAACTATGAGAGAATAAATTATGTTATGTCCACTTTCTACTAGTTTAGAGCAAAGATATAACTTTAATTCTTAATTTTTGTATTTTTTTAATTCCCATGAAATTAGTTTGATCTCTGACATTTGTTGTTTTCTGCTTTTACCACAAAATAATGTATATACCTAAATAATTTTAGATTCAAAGCAGATAAAATCGTATACTGATAAAAATTTTTTGTTCTGTAATTACTTAGAAAGCAATATTAAAAATATTATTCTAATTTGATTCATTAATTTAGCCAAACATCTGTGAAATACTGATAATAAATTCCCACCACAAAAACCTAACTTCCAAGAACTGGAACAATCCCTTAATATAATGTTACTTTATTTATTTTTGTGTTTATCTACCTATTTATTTATTTTTCGTACCAGGGATTAAACTCAATGGCACTCGATGGAGCCACATCCCCACCCTATTTTGTATTTTATTTAGAGACAGGGTCCCACTGAGTTGCTTAGCGCCTTGCTATTGCTGAGGCTGGCTTTGAACTTGCATTTCTCCTGCCTCAGCCTCCCAAACCACTGGGATTACAATCGCGCGCCACAGTGCCTGGCTAATGTTACTTTAAATAAGCAAGGAGATTAAATAATTAAATAATTCTTGATTTTATATGATATAAACATGATGGTGTGGAAAGCAGGACTTTCCAATACTCCAGTCTTAGACTGACAGAAAATGGATTCTGTTTGAATGGGTGATTGTTGAAGCCAAATAATTTCTAGCACTTCCTTTGCCTTCATCCACATACATCCTCAGAGGTCAGTAGCAGCTGTTGCCAACACAGGCCTTTTTTCCTCCAAGAGCTGCTTCGAGGTACTGAACAAGAAGGTGTAAATACATCTGTCTTTTGCCATTTGTAGTTTTACTGACCTCATGAATGTCTTGGAGTGAGACAGATGGTCCTTGACACTGCACAGGGATATGTATTTGTAAAAATAAGAGGGCAGATGTTAAATATGGTAAACACACATTTTGTCCCCTGAAGGTTTAAGTTGGGGCTTCTATCTCAATTTGGATATTTAAATATTGGATCCTAGGCAATCCTTGGAAATTTCTGCCATAAAAATATAATGTTTTGTTGTTATTTTACATCTTTATGCAAAATATCTAGGACAAGTGGAAGCTGAGCTAACCTCAGTAAGTATATAATTTTTTAAGGTATATTATTAGGCATATTAGAGGTAGACAGAAGTTACACATCTGTAATGGGTGGATTCTGGATCCTTTTTCTACATTATCCATATGAATGCTTCTTTTTATTTTTTAAAAAAAATTAGAAAAGGAGGTCCATGAAACCAAAATTTCCAAACTGAAGGGAGACCTGGAAACTAAAAACTTTATTTGCTCATCACCTTAATAAGAAAACTGAATGTCTCAGTACATAAAACAAAATGTAGTGGAAAAAATGAGCACGAATTAGCTAACTGCAGTGTTGAGAATTGGTCAGTTTTTTAAATGTTTTAAATAAATGTTTAAGAAAATATGCTTAAATTCTAATTGGATGAAATCAAAAAGGATAAAATATCATCTAGGATTTGCTTCAAAACTCAGCATATGGCAAAATTGGAAACAGAATATATTTTTTCACACAAATCAAATCTTAATTTTGATAAGGCAAAATATGTGTATTTTAATGAGAAAAATGTTGAATTTTAAGATGATGAAACCAAAAATTATATCTGAAAACTATGAGCCAAGGTTTAGGTGACCTATAATAAAATAATGATAAAGTCACAATAGCAATTTCTGATTATAATCAGCAAACACTTTCATAAGTGTATTAAGTCCTGTGATCCAGCATTGGTCAAATGCAAATTACAATCACTGTCATCAGCACACTTATTAGTCACTGTACTCTGTACTAAAGGAAGAGGAAAAAAGAATAGTAGGTTGAGTAATTTGTGGTACTCTAAAGTTTGTCATAATTAGAGAATTCATGACAAGAGAATATGGAATTTTTTAAAACCCAACTAACAAAATTCATTGTAAAATCTCTTATTTTGGTAATTATAACATGGTTATGTGAAAGATTATCCTTGCCTTCAGATACTGTGCATGGAGGATGTAGGAATAAGGGGGTGCTGAGTCTGCAACTCGTGTGTCCTTGTCTATGCAGAGTGAGAGAATGTGAATACTAAAAGACCTTAAAACTTTAAGATCTGGGAAATTTGGATATACAGAAATCTTTTTACTATTCTTACAATGTTTCTGTAAGTATATACTAAGTCTGAAAAATTAAAGTCAAGTCCTCATTTGGGACAGGTATGAATTTTCTTTCTAAACAACTTAAAACTTAACAGAAATCAAATGACTTGAAAATAGAGATACAAAGCCTAATCAACAATATGTTACAAGTATTGTATACTTTATGTTAATTTCAAAACACAGAAAATAAATTAATAATGCTTCATTAATAATTATTAATTTATACATGATATGAGGGAACACATTAGGTATGCTCCAAAAATATGAGAATTCTGAGCAGGTTTTTAACAAAGAAAAAGAAACAAAGAATTTATCTATGCTGATGAATTATGGCTGCACAGCAGGACACCAGATGATAAAGGTTCTCTCCATCTTAATGAAAAGAGGGTAGAAAGACAAAGAGTAAAAGAGTGACAGACTTTATCTTTGTATTCTAGAAAATTTCAAATATAAGCAAGAGTAGACTTATTTCCCAACTCTGCCCACAAATATTTTTAAATTTTAACATCATATTATTTTATCAATAAAACTTTAGTCATAGTCTCAGAGTAATTTTAGAAAGCCTTATTAAAGACAGCTTATTCTTTGCATTATAAGGCAGCATTAGTTCTTATGTTAGAAACAACAACAAACACACACATGAGAAACAAAACACCAGAATATGTTCTCATGTCTACCAGGAACTTCTGAACCAGGTTCTTATGTTCACCTCACTATGGATGTAAAATTAATTTACAAGGAACAAGTCTGAAGATGCTTTCACTTGGATTCAGGAAAGACAGACAAAATTTGTAAGAAATTTGAAGAACTGTACAATGCTGAGGTAAATCTAGAAGATAGAGTTATAAACTAACTTCAGCAAATGAAAAACAACTTTAAAGTTCTGTTTAAAAACTTAGTCCTGTTTTAAAACTTAGTCCTGTTTTTGTTTAGTTCTATATCCAGGGAACACAATGTCATAAAATGAAAAAACAAACTAATTGCAAATGTAAGGACATAACCCATTCACTCTTTATGCCACTATTATTAACTTGTTTTAAAATCAAGAAATTAATAGAAGAAAAATCAAAATTCTATTTTAAATCACACTTCTATTGAACAAAAAGAGTTGAATTAAAAGACAGGCCAAATGATCTGTACCATAAAATGTGATTTGGGATATACATTTTCTATCTTTTTCCTATTGTTTCCCTTAATTAGTCACAAATTCAATTTTATTTCTCCATATAGCAATAGGATCACTTAATATATAGACATCACTATACCCAGGTTGAGGGTCCTTGGTGATACTGGAAGTTCCAAGGACCCATTCCTGAGAGCCTCGAGTACGTCTTGTCATGAAAGTGACTTCTATAAACAGCAACACTAGCATAATAATATCAAAAGATATTGACCTGCCACACAAATAATTTAATCTTTTATTTTCATTGGGAAGACCCTAAGGACCATTTGAGATCCAGACAGGGTTTCTCCTGGCAGTTTTAATAAAGAATTTTAATATAGAATTTATTCCATTTCAAATCAGGTTAAATTTTAGGATTGCTCATTGAGAAAAACAAGTAATTTGACTATAGCAAATATATTTTTAAACAACAAAATGAATTTCTGTTATCACATAATATCTAATGATATCATAGACTTCATAGTTTATTTCCAGAAGTGCAAAGAAGCAATAATTATATATTCCTAACAGGGACAAAGTTTTTTTAAATAGTTAAAATAAGCACAAAGAAATCGAGCGAGTCATCAAAAGTCTTTAAGGATGTTCAAGAATCAGTTTTGAAAAAAAGTCCAAATTTTAGAAAACTACCTGTAACATCACATTGTCCTGACACAAATGAAGGCTTATTATATGTAAATTAAACCTCAATACAGGTGGTATTCAAAATGCATTAGAAACATGATTGTCTCTCATTATTTATGTCTGTCAAAATTTGGAGTCATTTTACATGCCAATCATGTCTGTAAAAGTCATGAAAATCAAACTGTGCTATCAGGCAATGCCATGAAGCAGCGAGTACAGGACTGAGTGGTGGGCCTGTTTTTTATTAGCCAATCCTAGTTTTCACAACTTGTCACTGCCTTGCTTTTTCTGTGGATGTGTATGTACACGGATGTGTGCAAGTATGTTTGCGCACATTCTATACTTTGTACTTAATCTGCTGCCATTAAGGCTCATATGGGCTGGAAATGAAGAACATAATCAAAACCACACAAAGAAAAAGTTATGTTTTATTTTTATTCATTCAACCCTATTAAACAGCTGTGAAAAAACATTGAGCCTGAGGCCTTACCCTGTTCGTTTGGTGATGGTCCCCAATGTCATTGGCTGCTTGATTTGAGCAAGAGGCATCACTACCATCAAGCTGGGGAGAGGAGAGAGCCGGGGGTTTCCAGGATTATTGTTGGTAAAGTTATTGTAAGAGTCTTGGCTGTTCAGTTTTCCTACAAAGAGAAAAACAGAAAAGCATCACCAATGGAAGCTTCCCTACCTCTGACAGGGTTTTCATTGACTCCATCAATCCTTTCGGAAAGGCATCAAAGGTAGAATTGATTCCAGGAGATTTAAAGTTATATAGATGGAGGCTGGGGATGTGGTTCAGTGGTGGAGTGCTCTTCTCACTTGTGTAAGGCACTGGGTTTGATCCTCAGCACCACATAAATAGAAATAAAGATGCTTTTTAAAAAGTTATATAGATGGGAAAAATTCGAAGTACTCTAGTGAGAAATGAGACTTAATTACAGAGATTTTGGTAATAGGGTATGGGGTTGAATTACTTTATAAAGAAAGACATAGTAGTTTGAGACCCATCTTTTTGGGGGGATGGGAAGGTGCCGGAGATTTAACTTAGGGGCCCTCTACCACTGAGCTATGTTTCCGGCATTTTTTAATTTTTTATTTTAATGAAGGGTCTTCCTAAGTTGTTGAGGCTAGCCTCAAACTAGTGATTCTCCTGCTTCAGCCTACCAAGTTGCTAGGATTATAGGAATGCACTACCACTTCTGGCTTGTGGCCCATCTTCAATGGATCATTGAATTCAACAAAATCTGTTGCTTTCTCCTATACTTGATTAATTTCTGAAAAAAATATTGGGGCCACTTGAGTTTTCTATTTAATCTGTAGATCAATTTCAGGAGTATGGTCAGTTCTCTTTTCCACAGGTTCCACATCCATGGATTCAACCACTGCTCAAAATATTTGGGGAAAAAATTCTAAGAAGTTCCCAAAGCATAATTTGAATTTGCCAGGCACTGAGGGTTACTCTGAATCCATGTAAATGAAGTAATGTGTGGGTATATTCTGCTGTAGCTACCCACAATTTTAGAGATCCTCAGTTTCTCTTCAGTATTATTTGAGTACTGTTAGGCATAGATCTTGTTCCTGCACTATGAAGTTAGGTCTACAATGGTTACATCAATACCAAACATCTAGAGCCATTTTTTTTCTCATCCTTATTACCTAAATAATAACGTGTAACTATTTACATAGCATTGACTTTGTATTAGGTCTTCTTAGTAACCTAAGGATGATTTACAGTATTTTGGAAGCTATGCAAAGATTATATGCAACATTATACTATTTTATATATAGGACTGGGGCACCACGGAGTTTGGTAAACACTTTAGTTCTGGAATGGATCACCTTAGCACACCAAGAAGTGACTATTGCAGTCTTAAAAATATTAAGTCTTGTAACCCAAGAACTTGGGACACCTTCCCATTTGCTCATGTATTCTATAATTTCCTTCAAAATTATTCTGTACTTTTCAGGTCATGAATCTCATATTATATTATCATTTCTTCTTCTTCTTCTTCTTCCTCTTTTTTATTTTTTAAGAGACAAAGTCTCTGTTACCCAGGGTAGCTCTGAACTCCTGACTCAAGCAATGCTCCTCAAGTAGCTACCAAGTAGCTCAGATGATAAGCACTAACCACTTCACCCAGCTTATATCTCTTTAATTTACTACTGTGTTTTAGATTTCTCAATGAAATTTATAAATGGAATTGTTTTCTTAATTTCACATTTCATACTTTTTTTGTTGTTGCTGTTGTTGTTATGTGTTTGTTGTGATGCTGGGGACTGAACCCAGAGCATTGTGCACGTGTGGCAAGCACTCAACCAACTGAGCTATATTCCCAGCCCACATTTCATATTGTTTACTGCAAGGGTAAAGAAGTACAGGTGACTTTTGTACCCTATCTTATATTCTACTGCTTTACTCTACATTTTCTTGAGGATTCTATAAGATTTTTCTACATAAAAGATTATGGAGTCGTAGCTCAGTGATAGAGCACTTGCCTAGCATATACAAGGCCCTGGGTTCAATTCCCAGCACCAAAAACAAGCAAAAAAAGATAAGGGCATCTTTGAAGAAAATAATTTTACTTCTACTTTTTTAGTATGGATGACTTTTGTTGCCTAATTGCTGGAACTACTAATATAATTTTAAATAGAGAGGGCAAGAACAGATGGCCATTTATTTATATTTAATTTTTGTATATATGGTGAGAGCTAAGTTTCATTATTCATCTTTTTTTGAATATAAATGTCCTATTGTTCTATACCATCGTTAAAACAATTATTTCTCCACTGATAGCCTTTCCACCTTTTTCAAAAATCACTTGACCATATACATTTGAGCCTATGTTTGGATTCCATTGATCTATGTGTCTATTTTTTCAACAATACCAGGTTTTCCATGAATCCTGTAGTTTGTTATGAGTCTAGTGTTTTTAAAACAATAATACTTTCAGACAAAAACCATCTTACTGACCTAATTTAATTTCAAATAGCTCTTCTTGACTTTTGATAAAAATTAACCTCAATTATATTGTTAGCAGTAAATACAATATTTTTTAAAAAATATGCAGAGTAAGCACAGAAAATTCTTACTAATTTGAATTAAGGCAAAAAAATTTATTGGAAGCATTTATAATGATACACTGTTTATAAAAGACATTCACTTTCAAAATATCATGATTCAGATAGAGACAGAACTACCAAACAGTATCTGATGGTATCTTCAGAAAGTCTGAAAAGATAAGAGTCAAATTTTTACAACTCATTACAAGATGAGAGTGCCTTTAGAATTAGGATTATGACTTAACCAAAAGCTACTTCTTCCTTGGGCACGTATCTGTATGTATGTGTGTGTGTGTGTGTGTATATATATATATATATATATATATACACACACACACACACACAATTTAAACTTGAAGAAATGTCTCTTTTGCAAATAAAGAGAATGATAAGAAATCTACAACAATTTCAAATTAAGATTACACATTAAAGGTAATAAAAGTGATTTTTATGTATTATGGGGACAAAAATGGCATTTATAAGGTGCACAAGATGTTTTAGGCTTTTTAGTGAATTAGACAACAACATTACACTCACACAACACTGAACATTGTAGAAAAGATAAATGGGGTAGTCCATTAAAATATTTTATATTTGTGGAGGAATAAGAAAAAAAACTATATTTAGAAAGTAACTTATTATCACACTCTCAAGGACAATGTAGATAAAAATAGTTGTACGACTTCCTCATTAAATGATTATGCTAATATTAATTGGGAACTGACATGATACTCCAACATTAAACATATCATAAACTAATTAAAATTCAAGAACTGTGCATACCAAACACATTTCTTAGCTGGTAAACAAATATTTGTTGAGTGCCTCAGCCTACAATAACATGCTGTATTCTCTTTATCATGAAGCTTACAGTATAATATGTATGAAACAGGAATGATTAAGGGCTAATTGTTTAGGACTAAAAATAACTACATATAAGAACAATTATTTGGAAACAGGTTCATGGAACATATGAGACATGACCTAGTTAAGAGTAGGACATAAGGAATACATGAAGGATAAAATGAGGGAAAGCAGTAAAAAGGGATGGCACCATGTGAGTGGACCTGAGGCATTGTTAATGAGAGTTGCAAATACACAGTAAAAAGCAATAGAAAGAAAATTATTTCAGTTTTAGGAGAACCTTTCAACTGAGACAGAAGAGTAAAAGCTAAGTTTTTTCAGCAAGGGAAGAGTATGGATAATTGAGGTCACTGAACTTTTTCTGCAGGGTGTTGGGGGGAGGGTTGTACTGGGGATTGAACCCAGAGGCTCTTAACCACTGAGCCACATTCCTAGCCCCTTTTTTAAAATTTTGAAACGGGGTCACTAAGTTGCTTAGGGCCTTGATAAGTTGTTGAGGCCAGCCTCAAACTTGTGGTCCTCATGCCTCAGCCTCTGAGTATCTGGAATTACAGGCATGTGCCACTCCATCATGTTCAGTGAGATCAATGACCTTTATAGATAAGATCAGTAGGGCTGGGGCTGTAGCCCAGAGGTACAGCCCTTGTTTAGCATGTGTGAGACTCTGAGTTCAACCTCTAGAACAGCAATAAAAACAAACAAATAAATAAATAAGTTCAGTGGTACAGAAAAATGAACTGATTCACTGAAAAATTCCAAATGTCATGGTTTAGGTAGCCATAATTAAAAAGAATTCACTGTCTCTAGGGCACAAAAAAACAACCTCAGAAAGCATACAAGGTACTTGATATCTATTCTTCTCAGCCTTGTACTATATTCTCTAGCAACACCCAACTATTTGTAGCCTTCTGCTCTTGTCATCTGTATTCATGAGGTAGTCTGTCTGTAATCCAATACATCTGAGAGCATAAAATAAGTGTATAGAGTTATGTTCATGCTTATGTTTATAGAAATAGTGTCTGTCTTATATACTATGGGATTTGGCAAGTAATTTATAAACATAGCTTTAATGAACAAATAAATTTACAAAAAAAAACAGTATTTTAATAGTGAACTATCTAAACTAGAAATCAGGAAATCAATCCTATTTATGATAGCTATAAGAAGATATAAAATAAAGTACCCAGGAAAATTTTAACTGAAGAGGCAAATTTTCTCTATAATGAAAATAATATTACATTTGTAAAAGAAATCAAAGAGAATACACACACACACACACACACACAGGAAAGACATCCTATGCTCAGAGATTGGAATATTGTTATAACATCCATACTACTCAAATTGATCTATACATTCAATGCAAATACCTACTAAAATATGAGTGGCACAGAAACAGAAGATAAAATCCTAGTATTTGTAGGGAACAACTACAACAAATAGCCAAAAGTATCTTGAGAGGGGGAAAAAAAACAGCAAAAAGCATTACACTGCTGGCGAGGATATGGAGAAAAGGAATGCTTGCACACTGTTGGTGGGAAAATATATTAGTACATTCACTGTGGAAATAGTATGAAGAGTCCTCAAAAAATTAATACTACTACATATGATCCAGCAATCCCACTACTGGGCAAATATCCAAAGGAAATGAAATCAGCATGTCAAAGAGACATTTGTGCTACTATGTGTATTGCAGTATTATTCACAATGGCCAGAA